AAAGTTTTCTTTGAAGAATCACTATTTTACTTAAGAAATTTTCCAGATTTCTGTCTATAGTAATTTATATATAAAACTGCATCACGTTACACTATGATCATTCTTCTGTTCACTAGAGAATCATCAATTAAATATACTTATATATGAGAACACAATTATTTGCTTTACTGTATATAAAATATTTTTAATAGAGAATAGCAAAATGGTTTAAACTATGCACAGATTTTTAATAGTGTTCTCATAAGAACTCTGAGAACACAAATCTTGAATACTGGTTATACTATGTTTTACAATCTTTCAATATGAGTTGGTGAGACCAAGGTTATAGGTGCTGACTCGGTCATATAGTCTGCCATAACACATTTTTGCAAATTTGAATTTCATTACTAGTGGAATTTAAACTCTTGTCCTGCCGTTTGGGGTGTGACAACTTATCAACTTCACTAAGTTATCACACCTTGTGTTTTTAAAATTTGCTAAAGCTTGCTAGTTTTTAGTAAATTTAATTATAATAAAAATATTATATAAAGAGATGCAAATTAATATTTAATAGTGCAAATACAAGATAAATTTTTAGATTATATAAATTTAAAGAACTATAAATATAGAAGCTTATTAAACAAAATCTAAATAAAAAAGTACTATAATACAAAATTTTAACTAAACTACTATAAAAATTAAATTTAGAAAACAAAATTTATATAAACTGAATAAAAATAGACTATTAAAAAATATCTTTTCTAATCAGACTACTATAAATAAAAAAAGCTAAATAATCTAATTATAAAAAGTTGTAATACTAATATCAAACTATCTAGCTTACTTTATAAAAAGAGTTTAGTCTAGTTGTAAAGAAAAAATATATATAAAATAGATTTTTACTTAAAATAACTGGTGGTGACTATCACTAGTATATAATTAGCCAATAATGATAAATTAAAAAAAGATTTCATTTCATTTACTTTAGGTTTAGGATAAGGCTTGAAATTTTAGTAAAGTGTTAAATATATATAAAATTTAGCAAAGATTTTTTTGTTAAAATATTGAAGGTGGTTTTATAGGCGAATTCTTAAGATATTAGCATTTTTTTAAAAAAAACTTTATTTTTATTATACAAATTAATTTGCATGTTACACCTAATCCTGCAAATTTATTGGCTAATTATACATCAGTAATAGTCACCACTAGTTATAGTTAGTAAATTCTATAAAATAAATATTTTTAGTAACTATATAACAAGTAAACTTTATTTAAACCAATTAAACTGTTATTAAACTTAGAGAAAAAAAGTATACAAATTAAGCTATTTAAATTAAAAGTTTGAAAAAAGACTAATATTATTAAAATACTAAGAATATATAGTGAAGTAAGTTTTGAAATTTAAGTAAACTCTATTATATAAAAGTAAATTAAGTAATTAAGTTTAAACCAAATTAGAATTAAACAGAAATAGAAGTAGGAAAAAGTTTTAATCAAAAAAAATCTAAAAACTATAAATAAAATCTCAATCTAATATTACAATATTCTTAGAATAAATAAAAACTTAAACTACAAGTAATAAATTATAGTTTATACTGTATATACTAACTAAAGCACTGGTTATAAAATATATAATTTAAAGTAATAATATTGTAAATTTTGTTAGATTTATTTTAAAAATAAAGAATTATAAGTAAATTAATAAAGTAATAATATATTGGTTTGTTTTTAAATCTTAAATTATTATATAAAATATATGCTAAAAAAAATTCTTTAAAAAAAAAAATGAATAGTTGTTAATTAATATAGGTCTTAAAATATATAGATACAAAAGGTTTTAATAAATAAATTAAGTAGACAAATTACAAGTATAATATCTAATATAAAGCTTTGTAATAAACAAATTATTTAAATAGATATTTATAAAACACAAATATAGCTAATATTTTTCTCTAAATATGTATAACTATCTTTTATTATTATTATTATTATTAAGCAGCATCTTGCCTGTATGTCTTTATTAATAGTAATATATGATTACAATTATATACAGTAGTTTATCAATGAAAGTACAATTAGCCACACGTATAACTTTAGTTATTATCTAATTAAGGGTTCTGCCCATAGATTACCCACTAGATGCCATATCTAAGACTTGCCTCTGGATCCCTTATTTAAACTTTTTAATCTCTAACACTATTTGTATATATGCAATACTTACATTACCTATCTTGTAACATATTAGATTAGGAGCTGTTGATACTATTTATAGCAAAGTACCACCTCATTAAATGTTACTATATATCCATAGTTCTACATATCACCCTTGACACAAACTATTAAATATAATACCAAGATTACTGTTTTAGATTTTATTCAATTTCAATATAACCCATATCCAATAAAACTGGTATTGGTGCTAGAGGTGTTCGAATTTCGGTAAGTTCATTCCTTTCTTATGACTTCCTTTTATGTTTACTATATTATCCACTAGTGTGCCTTTTCTCTATTTCTGATATGTTCACCGCTTCTTTTGCATCAAGCACCAACTCTCCATATTGGGAGGCTACTTTCTGGGAACTTCCTTATACACTGATCTTTTATTCATATAAACTTTAGTTACAGAGCTTTGCATATATTTATATGCTTCCATAAATTATTGAGTTTTTACCTTCAGCTAGAATTGAACCATCAACCTTGTATGTGGAGTGAGAGACATTTAAACAACTAGATTACAGGACCCCATCCTTTATATATAACTATCTTTATATAATAAAACATATTTAATCAAAAGATTATCTTAATACCAAAAAAAATCTTATAAATTTGTAATATTTAATATATAGTATTTATATTATTTAATTGTTACCAAAACAAATTTTTAAGAATATAACAATTTAGAATAGTAATTAAATTGTTAACCCAAATAGCAGATCTAGAGTTTAAATCCTACTAGAGGCATTTTTAGAAAAATAAATCTGTGTACTAATAATATTTATTTAACAATTAGTTGATATATCACCTGTAATTTTAATACTATTATTTTGAAATAAAAACTCTTGAGCAATTTAAATCCAAAAAACCAGAATAATTAAAATCTGTTTAGCAAAACCTGAACAAAGAGGTAATAAAAATCTTTGATAATACTGTAAAAAGCCAAAACTGAAGACTAAAGAACCAAACAAAAACCCTAAAACAAAAAGAATTTATCAACTTGACTACTAAAGTCATACCAAAGGAAAATGTTTTATAGTATACTACAAAATTAAAAACTAAGAAAAATAAAACTAAAAAGTACTTAAAATTTAGATATAACAAACTAACTGATTTGATAATCAAAAAAGAATTAATATAAAAACTGGTTTAATATAGGTATCAAAATTAAAATAAACCTTGTAAAAGTATAAATACTGAAATTATATGATTTAATAATTAATTCTGACTGCTAGTAGTAATTTTAGCTGCTGCAAAAAATAATTTAAAAATACATAAAACAGAAAAATTAAGAAAATATATACTATACTTTTTCTAAAATAATCTAATAATATGAAAATTCTATTAGATTATCTATAAAATTAAAGCACAAATAATATAACACATATCAATATAAGTGGCCTTCAATTAAAACAACACAAAATTATAGATTAATATAATTGTAATAATAATACAAGACAAAAAATATCAAAGTTTAAAAAGTAATCTCCTAGTTAAATTATAGATATAACATCTAATATAAAACCTTTGAATAAACTACTTAAATAGACAACCAAAAGTTGCATATATAACTAAATATACTTTTATTAACCAAAAATATATTACTAAAATATCTAATAAAATCCACCTGCTAAAAAAAAAAAAAATTTTATATTAAAACTATAAATTAAACTAATTAAAACAATCAAATAAATAGTAATAAACCTTAACACTAAAGTTAACTTTAAAATTAAAGTATAATATGTATCAAAATTTAAAAAATTTTTTTTTGTTAAAACACAAATAAGTTTCATAAGCAAAATTTTGAGCTACAACCATTTTTCAAAAAAGTGTATAATTTCATGTTACACCTAATCTTGAAAGCTGATTGGTGCGCAAAGTTTTGAAGATGTTCTTGGAGTAGTTGCGGGTTATACCTAATTTTGAAAGCTGATTGGTGCACAGATTTTTGCAGATGTTCTTGGGATAGTTTACAAAATATCACTAACGCGTGATTTTTTTGCCAATCAAATTTCTAAATATATAACATTACACGATCAGGAAAATTCAAAACTAACGTTCGCTTTGTCAAAAAAAGTCAAAAAATCGCATATTTTTTTGAAAATAAGTATAAAAAATCACCTTTTGTGCCTTAATAAAAAATTGCCTCGAGAAATTTTACAATATACTCTTCTAACATCTAAATCTAAGGTAAACGCTAATCCTAACATAAACGAACTTAAAAATTTTATCATTAGTAACATTTTTTTGTGGGTGCCTTAGTGGTAATAGTAATAAAAATGAAAAAAATCAAATTTGAAAATTGGCGACTAGTATTACCACGCGACTAATTTATTGTATGGGTGTGTATTATATGTAAGGTTTTAACACTTGCTTCACAGCATTTCTCCAACTTTGCTTTTTAATTTTATCAATTCCACTTAGGAATAATCTTTCTCGCCATACTGAAAACTTGTCATTTTCAATTCCAACAAGGGTAGATTCTTCAGGCATTGATTCTATTATATTTTCTGTATTTGGAATGTCGTCATGCTTTTTTTTACGTTGCTTTTTGCCGGTTTTGATAATGTTAATAGATTCCTTCTCATCCTTAGATAATGCACGTATACAAGTTTTTTCCATCATTTCAACAACTGTCAGTAAGAATATGTACAAGCTTTCTTCAGACTTGGGGAAGTCAGATAGTATAACAAGCGCTTGTGTAATAGTGTAAAAGATATAAGCTAAAAAATTCAAGCTAGCAGTTTGGGTAATAAAGCTAGCCTAAAGACAAATAAAATTTTAAAATAACAATGATCTTAAATTAATATTAATTAGAGAAAAAAATCATATTATACCTTTAGAACATTTATGATATTTTGAGTTATATGAATATCGTTAATCGATCCAGAATTAGTATAATCATCATTTTCTTCAGAAAATAATGTTGTATCTTCTCTTTTCTGCTTGATTGATTTTTCTCTGATATGTTTTAGGGCTGATAAGATATTTATTAATGAATACCTCACACAGCACAACGATATTCTTTCTGTTAAAGGATCTTCTGTTAGTAGTTTCTTTCAATAAATTCAGAATAAAAATTAAAAAGAAAATTAACCTTCAATTGCAAATTCGGATATAACATCTTCGCTCATATTATTACACTCTATGTCAACCAATAACAATTCAGTTGCCGATAAAATACCATATGAAATTAAATTCTTCAACAGCACATCTAATATATTTCTAGATTCTTCATCTACACTTTTTTCAAGAACAAAACAGAACGAAAAAGGAGCAATGGTCCAGAAGATATTTCGCAGAATTGGTTTTGAGATTGATTTAACAATATTGAGTGACTGAAGTGTTGGTTAATATAAAATGTTCGATATTAATGATATGAATTAAATAAAAATTTTATTATCTACACGATCAATTAGTACAATGTTAAAATTTTAAATACCATGCTGAATTTCTTGCAACAATCGATTGAGATTCTACAAGCTTCTAAAAACAACAATGATTGTTTCGTTGTTTTCTCTTGATCAAGTACACTGATTTCCTTTCCGTCACTTATTGTGAATTCTTGATCAGATAATTCACAAAAAGAAAATAGCAAAGCTGGTACGACAGGTTTGTTTATATGGAAACCAAAACGACTCGCACAAGTTTCAATGAAGGGACGGAAATATAATTGAGTAGTCCAACCTTTATTTAAAAAGAAATAATAATCGTGGTTGTAAATAAAATAAATAAAATAAAATAAAAAAAAGACCTAAAAATTGTTATGGAATAATTGTAAAAAATTTTTCACTCACTAAAATTTAAAGATTTTTTATAAAAGTGTTGAATAATGGAAGAATTGGACCTATGCATTTCTAATAAAGTGAGTACATAAACTATGTTAGACATGACACATGTTTGGCGCATTCGATAAAAGTAACTTGCCATCTTTATTATAATCGTCTTGAATTGATATGACATATTCGGTTAATAGTCTCATAAACTCTTTTAGTAAGGCATAAAGGATATCCACGGTTTTCATACTAATCAAAATTGCTTCACGTTGATCAAACAATAGAGCAAGACTGTGTAAGAGTGAAAATGGCTCAGATTTCATAAGCCAACATAAGTCGAATCGAGGAAAAGTAGATACACTGGGAAGCAGCAATGAATTAAGGGTATAAAGCGCCAAATATAATGTGGTTTTTTTGCCAAGAGATGTAGATGAACTCTGCAAATATGGCAATACACAACAAGCAATGTATTCGGGAATATCAATTAAGATGTCGTTATTACCCCACTCTCCAATTTCTGTTAATGTAAGCTCTACAGCAGACTTGGTAGTATTACCCTATTTTTGTACCAAATGATGAAATTGAGCCGACTATGAAAACGATAAGTTATATTAGCACTGCTAAAAGTTTACCAGCATCGCATGAAATACGAATTCATTCCAATTCTTTTGTTCCTGACGGGTCAAAACAACGGATCCATCGTCAATTTGATTCAATATGTCTTTAAGCACAATGATGAACAGTGAAGGTGATTTTGGGGTTTGACGAAGCCAACAAATAGATCCTATATCACGTATAATATCAAGAATTATCAACCATTGCCCTTTGTTACGAATGGATTCCCACACCAGTCGGTGTAACACGTGAAAAGGTGATATCAAAGATAACTTTCAAAAGACAACGAAAAATAAGAATGATGACAATGAAAAATCTCAGAAAATGACAAAATAATTACCAAAATTAGTGAATCTATTATTTGCAATTTAAGTGGATCAAATTGGCTCAATGTTTGGTTCCCTATTGATTTTGTAGGGATATGGTCCAGCGAAGAGACCAATTGATTACATGTCGTGGTAAGTCGTTGTTCAAAATCCAAAAACCAGATCGTCCAGGAGTCAAAAGTCGGTGACGTGATTGCTGAAGTGGGCAATCTTACATAAATGAACAAGTATTAATTAATAGAAAATTACGATGTATAAAATTATTATAATTATAAATGTCATAAAAACATGCCTATCTAAAAGTACAAAATCTCGGAATACATTTTTAGTACGTAGAGACATAAGACCAAATGTCTTAAGTAACAATTCAATAACAGCCTGATAAAAAGTCGTGTTAGAAACAGTAATTAAATCAAGGAGATTTAATTAAGATAATGTGTACCTTAACTACTTTATTATGTTCTTTTGGAGGAAATACTTTAATATTTCGCTTGACACTTTGATATAACTCGGTGCATAGACCATGCTCAAGAATCATAACTGCAAGTTGCTCAACATTGTAATCAAATCTGTAATTTTTACGAGACATAAATTATAAAGTTAAGCTTGAATCGTTAATCATATGTATTTAATTGCTAAGAACAATTTCAAAGGCTTATACGAAAAAACACACCCAACGAAAAGATCAAAATATTGAATCATCAATTTTAAGAGGGATATATAGCCAGGAAAGCCAAGAAATATGCTCTCTTGTACCCATTGACAATAATCTTCAAGATCCTTTTTAACAGGGCGTACCATAGGTGGACTCAATTCAGAAAATAACTTGGAATTAGTTATTCGAAGGGCAAACGACGTATCATATGCAAGGTTTGCACGGACTGTGCGACATATTGTGACAAATGCCTCTTCATGCTTATTCAAGCCAATATCTTTCCCCGTTGTAGTCGAAATCTCAAATTGATTTAAATCATAATTCTTCACATGATCGATTACATTCGCATACCGAGTTTTATCTTCTTGTCTAATTTGTTAAGAAATTTCATGAGTGAATGGTTACTTAAAACATTATTAATAATGATGACAATTGTACATAAACAATAACATACAGTTTAATAACTAAGTCTGAACGTGGCTATAAACAAATAAATTAATTTACTTGAATTGCAATATCATAAACGTCACACTGGTTATATCGACACCTCAAAAAAATAAAAACATTGTCCGATATTATCCAGATGTCGTTTAGCCAGAGACATTTTCAATATAAGTTCAAAAATTAAAAATATCGTCAGATGTTAGTATATCCAGATGCGATATAACCAGAGTGACGTGTACAACGAGAGTATTTAAAACATCATAAATACTTTAAACTTAAAAAGTTGTTGTTGCTGAGAATCGATATCACTTGCATATTTAAATAAATTCGAAAGTGCATGTCTTTCAGCAATCATTGGCTCAGCCTTCAACTTTGTGAAATGGTCTAATTCAAGAAAAAACAATTATATTTTTGAAATATGAAATACATTTACAATAATATCATCATATTGCAAAAAAAATAAACATGCAACATTTACCTGATTTTATCAATTTTAGAATCGTTTTGCGAAGAATCAACGATATTGAAGACTTCACATGATCCTTTAAATCTTGGTTGGACCACGCAACAAATATTATATAATCAAAAATTGCCAAAAGAGTAAAGATACAGCTTGTATCCTCAGTTGTCGATAAGCTTGGATTAAATAGCAGATCTTCAATAAGTCTAAATTAGAAGTTGAGAAAAAATAAAATTAATAAAACACAATATAGGGATAAGGCTAAAAATCAAAGTAACGTACAGGACAGTGTCTATTCGATGACTCTTCTGTTGGGAGACACTATGAACAAGTTGTTGTCGGGATTTATATAATGATCTCACAGATCGATAAGAATAGAAAGGTGTTGAAAACATATAATCTACAACAACTTCATATTTTTCACTTTTTGAAATAAGATCATTATCAGAAATGCTTTCAAGAGAGACAGGACCCAAATAATTTTCTATATGTTTGGCAGTCGAACTAATTAATTTAAATCGCTGACGATCCTCTAAATATAAATTATCAATGAGAATAAAAATAAGGGTAAATAGTCATAATGTTTTCTTATAATCATACCTGTAATTGAAGTTGCATTAGATATAACCAAACGAGCCAAGACCGCCAGCAATTCTTTTCGATGCTTAATATCAAGGCTATTTGATATATATAAAGCAGGATCATATGCAATTCTCAAACAGAATTGCGGATCCCAACGTTCCATCTCTTGAATGAGCATCATAATCACCTAATTTTTGGATAACTTTTTTATTGTTTGACGAATTGATTGAAAAATTAATAATCATACAAAAGTTACCTGCCGTGGAATTGTATACAATGTTTGAATAAATTCATTTTCCAATTTTAAGCCTTGGAGAAGTTGTAAGTAGAGCTCTGTATCTATATTATTAATGGCACGGATAACATTATAATTTAATTCGTCATCGACCAATTCTTTAGCGAATTCGACGTGTAATTTCAAAAGGACGCGTTAGTATTGTCATTGATGGTTGATAAGAAACAATTTTTTTCCTTATCATTTAAAGACACCTGTAGTCACTAATGATTGTTGCCATGCTTTGTATAAAAGCGAATGGACAATGTATTTGTTGGTATCAATGTCACTTGATAAATCAAACAATCTTAGTAATGGGGGGACAAGGAAATCGCAACGTGTTTTTCTATGATTAACCGATGAAAAATTATTATATGAGGAACACACGGATCAAGCTGAACCATAAAATGCAATATGTCCTTACGTGTCAGCTTCTTGACTAAACTGTTTGAAAGCCAATAAAACGCTTTCGAAGCAATTCTAATTTTAAAAAGTTTATTAATTACATGGTATTATATAAGAAATTATAATCTGTTAATAACGTACCTGTAAATTCTCTAATGCAGACATTCGCGGAGAACTCGGAAAAAATTCACCTACAAACACGTACTTACAACAAAAGTAACGCCCCATATAATTTTCGAAATCGAACCGAATTTTTAACCAATAGAAATTTAAACCGTTTTTCCGGGCAAATTCGCCTAGACGCCACAAAAAATTGTTCACCCCTGTAATTTTGACCAATCGGATTTCAGGATCAGGTGTAACGTAAAAATCGAAACGAAACAAGAATAACTAAATTTTAATTAGGAAATCACCTTCTGCGACCTAATTAAA